AACCCTACTTAGCTTTTTCAGATCAGACTAGGAGCTACCACTTGCTGTGATGTATATACCCATACTTCAGAATTATTTTCTCATCAATCATTAACCAGATAAAAGTTAGAATTGAACAACTTTGTAACTTATCAAATAATTTTTGTTGCAATCAAACCACTAGTTCTCCAGGAAAAAGCATCATCCATGTTGCCTTTTCCCAAAGGTCAGCTTACACTCTTTAAAGGCGATATTCATGCTCATTGAGAAAAAGACATAGGGATTGAAATATATCCATTAACAGTTAATAGAAAAATGGGGGAAGGATTTATCTCCCCTTGCTGGGAAAACAATTTACTACTGTTTCAAGAATGAATTCTTTTCTACTATAAATTACACAATCAACCTGAAGAAGGGAGAGGAGGCAATATTCTAACAGAACAGCTTGTCTTGAGGATCTTCGTGAGGTTCAGCTAAATACTCTGAAACCAGAGGAGTCTGCAAGATTAAGCAGCTTTCATCAAAATTACGAAAGCTGCTTTGCGCTCTCACCACCCCTTTCATACAGTACACATATCAGTGCACACAAAAAAAGAGGTGGCGCTTGTGTAGCATGAGCATGACGGCGTGCATTGTCCACCTCTTTGACCCATGGACATCTGTTTAAGACTTTATAGTATCCAAACCATACTTCCTATTACTGTTGCTTGATAAAGATAATTCAGGTGAATTTGAATTATTCTAGATGCTCAATCTTATGAATTTAGCTAATGCAGATCTCTAGAAATCTTAGCTACTGTACTCTTTTGCCATGCATAAAGTTAATAATGGCTAATTTGGTCTTGCCTTAGGCTACCACATCTGAGCCACAAACATTCAGACAACCCTAGACAGCACCAAATATAGAAAACAGTAATTCTCCACTGCCATCTAGTGGTCATAAGTTTGCCCCTCAGATCTAGTAGCCATAATACTGGCAATTTTGGTGCAATAATTTTTGTTCTCTTTTCTTTTCTTTTAAACAAGATAACAAGCCTGTGTCATCCAATGATAAAAAGCGTACTGTGGAGAAAGAGACAAATGCAGGCCCTGTAAGAGGAGTCCCATTGTCATCCTCACCTTGTGTGATAATGACTCGGCCACTTACTCCAAGAACTGGTGTGCCTTTCTCTAATCAACTGAAACCTGGATCTTATCCAAGGGGGCCTCATCCTGGAATCGGAGGGGGGAAAACTTAGCAACAATGGCATAGAAGTAGCAATGATGTCTATTAGATCATGAGCCTAATGGCAGGGACTTGGGTTATTTTACAAAATTGGCCCAGTGTTTAGAAATGTAAGAGCTTTGTTAAGTGTTAAACAATACCTACAATAAGCTTCGCTTATCTTGGAAAAGTGATGGGAAAAGTTCCTATTCAGCGATGAAATGTTTTTGCCAAACTCCAGAGCTCATTGGTTTCTCCTTATGTACCTTCATTCAGTTGTATTTGGCACACAAATAGAGCTCGCCTAAACTATAATACACTATCAAGTTAGAGATGGCAGCAGAGGGGGAAATGTCCTGATTCAGCAGTGCTGACAGGACTCCATGTACCTGACTGAAATATCTACAATCATACTGCTTTAAAAGTAAGTAAAAACCAACTTTTGACAGAAGTGCAAAGGTTAATTATTCCAATTATGACTTCAGCCAATAGTCTACAAAATCCCACCCCACCAACATACAACATATGGACAAAACTACCCACCTGTCAGAAGGTGGTTCTAAAATTAATGAGTACCTGATTTATGTACTCTAAAATGTTAGAAAGACCATTACACGTCATAACAAGAGTAGCTGGCCTTTCAAAACTCACTTCCCCAATTGGCCTGGTCTTCCATGTGGCATCTTCTCCTGACACCACTTCCCCAAGCACCATCCTGGCAGGTACATGACTCTTCTTTTCTGAGGTCCTAATGGGAGCTGGTAGGAAGAACTTCAAGCCCCACCAGTTGGCTTCATCTCTGGTAACCAAGAATCCAGCATAGTTTGAAAGCTCCATTTTATTTTGATTCCACAGAAAAGCTTTCCATAACTGGCTTAATTTATTTACATTTCTTGTTGACATGGAAAATACATTATAGTCAGAAACTTGATTTTTTTCATAACATTTGTAATATCAAAAAATGTATCAATTTCAATTTGTAATCATAATTGGAAACAATGACAAATATGGCCTTTTGATGCATGTGCAATAGTAGCAATTTTTTAAATTAACCCTTACAATTTTCCTTGCTTTTGTATAGGAGTCTTTGTGTAACTTGTATATTGTATAGCACATCTATATATTATATAGCCTCCATGACTCCAGCTTGTATCTGTTCAGAGCTGGAAAGTGGGGAAATGGGAATCAAGTGATAGTAAAATCATAATAGTTCAGAGGTTATGAAGCATTACTACTATTTCCAAGATTAATGCTAGTCATCCTTTACATGGAATACATTTAGTTATATCAGTCTCACAACACCTAAATGATGTTGTTTTTTGGGGGAAGGAATTTATAGAAAAATGATATTACATAACACATTGTCTTTTTTTCTTTCATGACAATAAATCTTTGTTCAAGAGTGCCTGTGTGCTTGGATGCAAGGTAATTAAGATCCCACTAAGGCTTACTAGAATTAACATAGCAAACCGGGAAATGTATTGTGATTTTTAAAAAGGAGGCATGCAGGAAATGTGTTTTAAGTTCAAAATAAAACTATTTTATTCAAAGCACTCAAATCTTTGCTGAAGCATTTTGTTCCAACATAGCAACAAAACTCTTGGAGCACATTTTGTTTTGTTATTCAAAATGATCTGTTTTCTATGACTGGTATACTTAGAATGAGGCCATCTGAAGTGGCTTAAGATTTGTTCAGAGACCATAACAAACATGCGTTGTTCTGACCTTAAATTTCTACACTTGAAACTTTTTGTACACCTTAGAAAGCCTTTAGCCAAATACGTATCACAAGTTTAAAGAAATCCTAGATTAATGAGAACACACAATCTAATACCCAATGTTCTGAAAGTCAACTATTAAATAATGCTTTACTCTATTCCTATCTACAACATAATGAAAGGTGACAGCGTAAAACCTAATTTTCCTTGTTCCTAATCTATTTAAGAACATGGCCATTTTTTTAAAAAAAAATTAAGATATGTAATTTGTATTGTTTCCCAGCTAACTTGGCTCTGATAAAATGTCATTTTTTAAGTGAATATGCCAGATAAAGCCAATTAACTCTTTCATTTGCATGGTTCAAAACATGAGGCTTTAAAAAAAAATACAACCTGCCTTAAGGAAATATTAGTTGGCACTACCCTGCATGAGACCTGTAATGATCTTTAATCAGCTGTGACCTGTTTAGTACTCTTGTAATATTGTAGAAGTTACTAAATTTCAAACACACTTGTGTAATACAGCAGAAACTCTGAGAAGCTCAACCAGCGAGCCTTTGCACAGAGGCCTATATTAAGGCATGTCCCTTCACAAATCCCGCTCAGTCGCTCTTCTGTATTGGGGGGGGGGGGTTATCAGAAAGCAATGGGACAGAACCTAGGGAAAAAGCATTCCCTTCCTGAAGCCCTGCAAATTGGCATCATGCTCTTTGTCGTTGGGATGGATGCAGTTCCTGTCCTAAGTTGCTTGGCAAAAACTGGTGCAATTTTCCTGACAGTTACAGCACTAGTTTTCAGCTTCCCAGCCCTGATATTCCCAGGTGACCCCCCCCCTTCCATGTACTAATCAGGGCTGATCCTGCATAACTTCCCAGATCAGCCAAAATAAAACAAACAAACAAATCTTAGTTAACAAGAAAGATATTTATTCTTCAACTGTAGTTCTGGAATTGCTACTGCTGTATTAGGACCATTCTGTGGCAGTCCCAACCCACTCAGTAGCCTGAGCAGTGGGAGCTGCAGACCAGTCTTCAGTGGCAGTCTGTGAACTCCAGTCCTCTGAAAAAGACATAAAATCATACTGGGTTTTGAACAGGTAAGCAACATCCTCAATCTTCCTTACCATATTTTGAGATCATTCCCTGTGATTAGCAACTTGTATTTCAAAATACAAATCTACAAGATTGTATTACAAATACTTGCACAAACCTAAATAGAATGAGAAATCAAAGCAGTTTCAATTGGGTGTAAAATAGAGAAGTGCAAAATGTGTCAATGCAGGAAGAGGATACCAGAGAATTCCAGATGGCCCACTTTCACATGGATCAAGCTCTTCTGGGTGGACAACTCTGTGGTTTACAGAAGTAAATCCTCTACACTGGAAGGATCGTGATGCATCCTAGATTAAATAGGCCTCTTGTGAAATAGGACTATCTCAGGAACACTTGAAACTGCTTCTGATTTGGAGGATTTAGTTCAACTAACTGCCAAACTGCTCCCCACCCCCAAGCAGCATGGTACAGAGGATGCCTGGCATGGTCATGAGGGAAACAGGATGTTCCATAGGTCTTTGGAACAGTGTACTCCCCTATCAGTTAATATATCCCTAGTAGAGAATTTTCAACCCATAAGGCCATTTAATTCAGCTGCAGCTTCCTCTTTCATCTCTCCTTCTAGCAAATAAAAGTCCCACCCCCCCGCAAGGCAGCCAATACAGCCAAACTGCCTTGTTGCACGTTTTCGATGAAGATATTGCTTCTGAAACAGTAAAAGCTGGGCTATACCCAAGCAGCAAGTTGATATTAGAAATTCCAAGAGATATAAATGGAACCATTTTTAAAAGCTGTTGAGAGCCAACTGGAAAGGGAGAATAAAAAAAGCGAACTGAATAGACTAATGGAAAATGAGAATGGATATCTGAGCTCTGTGTGCACCTGTTTTAGATACTGGCTCCTACCCACTTCTTTCTCAAACTTTGCCTAACTGTTAAATGCATTTCTGGAATCAATCACCCCCTGGAAGAGGATTCATTGATCAGTTGTTTAAAAAAAATTAAAATCCCTTACCATAACTTAAATTACTGTATATGATATATTGTCAAGTCAGGATTCTTCTCAACTAAATTTTTCAAGCTACTTACCAGCAGGGTAAGGCTGTATTGGGACCGAAGGTACTTGCACCCCTTCAGACCAATCAGCCACCTCAGGTTGTGGAGGTGCAGTGAATTCAGGGGCAGGTGCTGTCCATTCACCCTGGAACTCCTCCTTGGTAACTGCCTTATCAGCTGCAGCCTGTTCTTCTTTTTCAATCTGAACAAGAGGCAACTCAAGTTACAACTATAAATTAAAAGTTTTCTGGGTAGCACCAAAACCTCTCTGAATCTACATTTTGAAAATAAGGGTGATTTCGTACAAGCTTGTATCACGCACTGTGGATTTCTGTATTTTAAGCAAAGTACCTTTTTGATGCATCTACCTTAATACTTCCTTTTTCAGTGTTGTGGTACCAGACCACATATTATAGAAAACATAAGGTGATACTACCAACTTAAAACCACTTATTTCAATAATAAAGAAAAGAATAAATCTGGTCAAGTATGTGTGAATGTTACATTTTTACCTCTTCAGGATCCCGGTAGAAGTAGAGATCAGGCATGACCTCCCATGGGTGCTCCCGGGAAATAGTGCCACGCATTCGCAGGACTTCACGAGCCAACATCCACCACATCAGACCAACTGAGTGAGCTCCCTGAACATTAATTAGATCTTTGTCAATTAGATCAACATATTCATTTAAGTTCATGAATAAGCATTTAATTGAGTTTGAATAAAAGGATCATGCTGCTCAACAAATCAGGAAAACAAGAGAACAAAATAGAGCTTAACCAACCCATTCACCTGCTTGATTTCCTTCAGCTATCAATTTTTGACTGTTTCTCATAAACATGTAGCAAGAATCACTATCAAACTCCATTCATTGAACCAAAGAGGTCCTTATGGCGTTAGCGAAAAGACTTGCAGAGGCTGATGTAGCACGCTTCCTACACTCAGTAGTTCTTCGGACAGAAACTGACCTCAGCTCTGAGCTCTAACAGCGTGCAGGTTATGTAATTCCTTCTCTCCCAAAATTTTTACTCCATCAAAACAAATTTTGTATCAGACCTTTCTAAAAAATTTTTGCAGAAAGTGCTAAAGAACCACAGCTAGAAATGCTTTTTCCAAAAACCACAGATTCATGTATTAGAGGATATACTACCTTGTTATTGCAGGGAATAGCAATATCCACATAACGCAGGGGAGAATCTGTATTACACAAGGCAATGGTGGGGATGTTTACATAAGATGCTTCAGTCAGTGGCTGATGATCAGCTCTTGGATCAGTGACCACCAAAAGGCGGGGTTCACGAAAAGCAGCCTGGATCTGATTGGTGAATGTGCCAGGAGTGAAACGGCCAGCAATTGGAGTTGCACCAGTAGCTGCAGCAAATTTCAAAACAGCACGCTATAATGGGGAGATAAAATACATGGCAGAATAGATTATGTATTTCTACTGACCATTCCTCAAAATCAATAAAGCAATTATTTATTTTGCATGTACAAACAGGACTGAATTGAGGAATGTCATTTTGAAACACCAGACACAAATATATTTGGTTTCTTTTGTTGAAAGTTTGGCTTAAAGATTTCCAGAAAATTTAATTCATATTACTTTCTCCTAGCTGATTTCTTGATGGGCCATAAATACTATCAGGATACTATTTTCATCTTCTGGCCAAGTATATCCATACCTGCCCAGTATTTCTGGAGGAGATAACACTGACATCAGCTGGGTTCTCAATAGCAACGATGGCACGGGCTGCCAAGAGCAGTTTTTCCCAGGTTCTCTTCAGATTGATGATGTAAATACCTCAATAAAATGACATAGGATTGTCAATTAAATATGGGAATGCTCAACAAATAGAATACATAAACTCTAACCCTCTTGTCTTTTCTACTGTTGTCTTCAACTCTGGCATGTGGCAGCGACTACTATCAAACCCCAGTCACAGAGAAGCACTCTACTGGTGTTAGCGAAAACCCTGCCAAAATTTACTTTAGCACACTTCCGACACTCAAGAGTTAATTGGCCAGAAACTGGTCTCAGCTCCAAGTTTTAACAGTGTGCAGTTAAAACACAATGGATAGCATACGAACCTGCCTACCATAAGTCAAGCCTTATTTGATTTCAATTACAACAGTTCACTTCTGTTTGATAGAGCTCCATGGAAATCATCATATAAGGGAAAATTGACCCTGTACCACTGAACTTAAAAAAAGGCCTGTGAATTGGGGGGAAAAGGTGTTTCAGTTCATCACCAGTTCTATTAAGATTAGCTGTGGCATGGAGAGAATCCAGCCCAAATTAAGCATGATTAAGGCCCACCTGAAAGGAAATATTAAACATACCTTTTTACTTTGGCAGTGGTAGCTAGGAACAAGACTCAGGTAGGGAAAAATACTACACGTATCAACTTGGAATTTACAGACGCTGACAACAAACTCCACTACTATTGTGCATGATGATGACTCTGACATCACTAATGTAAAGTGAAATCTATAATTAACAATAATTAAAAGAAAAATCCCAATTTTTTACCATCACTTTTTCTTTTATAAATATACTGTTCCATCTGAAAATCTAGATTGGTGCCTCCCAAATGGGTTCCTGCAGCAAGGAATTTGAGGACATCTTCCTCCTTCATCTGTAGGACATCAAGGCCTCCGGACATTGTGAAAGTTTCCTTTTAAAGCAACGACAGGAAACCTAGAACAAAAATCAGCAAAGTTTAATACATGATATAATCACTACTACCCAACTATAAAACGGAAGTAATAACAATCTATCACTGTCACTGCAGAGGAAATTGTGACTACAAATCAGTTTATAAAGCCAGAATCATTAAGCTTCAAATGCTGTTCTAATGCTTTCCAGCTTGGTTCATCATAAGAAAAATGCTCTGGCATTCAGCAAACAAGTTGCAATATAAAAAAACCCAAAACAATACTGTAGCAATCAAAATGGCAGTTCTTTTCTTTTTAATCTCAACTCACTCAGCATACTGAGCAATTTTCTTGAAAAAGCTATACAAGGCAGCATACTTGCTAGGCCTGTGAATGCCTCAAAAATAATTGGGAGGAAATGCTTTGTTTGGACATAGCACAAGTGTGAGCACAGCAGCCCTGCTATTCATTTAAGCATATGGATCTTCAGCCTTCCACAGGGCCTGAAAATATATCCCTGCAAAGATGCACTGTTTTAATGGATTCTTTCTAGTCGCATAATAATAGAATAAAGTCGCATAAACTGATTCTGCTCCTAAGATTAAAACATGAACATCTGTACTTCAGATTGACATCGTTAAGAAAAAAGGAAACCACACAAGGTTTCTGAAAAAGATCCAAAGGAAGGCACTCACTCGAAAAGCTCAACTTATGCACCAATCCTCCTCCTATTATTTGGGATAACATTTAATAGCCAGAAAAGAGCAAAGATTGAGATATTTTCATGGTAAATTTTGCGCTGAAACGTTAAGCCTGTCTGGGCTACAGATGGGACCAAGGAAGTCAACACCAACATGTATTGCATTACTATACATATAGATCAAAAACGTAAGCACGGCCTCGCATCCTCCTCATTTCCAGTGCTGTTGTTGCAATTTTGCACTCGAGGAAGACCTAAATACGGAACAGCACTCGGTTCGGAAAGTTTCAGAAGAGTCAGAGGCGCCACGAAGGCCAAGTGCATCCTGCAATCAGACAAGGCGGGAGGCCTGCAACACGCGGGGCATCGCAGCCATTTCGGCAACCCAAAGCAGAGGCAGCAGCCTTGTCCCAACGCCGCCGCCTCCGCCACCCCTTCCCACTGCCAGCCACTTTGCGCGGCCGGAGCGAACAGCGTTCCGCGACTAAACACGCGTTAGGCGACTCACGCGGTGACAACGCCGTATGGAGGCCTCCCTAAGGTCGGAGAGAAAGAAGGCCGCGGCGTTTGGTCACGTGTATATATACTCCGCTTGTCTACCAATCGCAGTCTTCCCCGGGAAGGAAGTGACGTTGTCTTACTTTCGTTTCCGGACTATGTCAGAACTCTTGGTCACTTCCGGTTTCCTTCTGAGCGCCGCCATATGCGGGGATATGGCTCATGCAATAAGGAGGGGGAGCTGTCTACAAGAGTGTTTCTTAAACTTGGCAACTTCAAGATGTGTGCACTTCAACTCCCAGAGTTGGCTGGCTGGGGAATTCTGGGAGTTGAAGTCCACACATCTTGAAGTTGCCAAGTTTGAGAAATACTGGTCTAGGAGCTGTAGCAGCAAAATGCCTGCCCACACCTTTAAAGCGTGTCAGAAGACTCGCTCTTAATACAGCTTTCCTTTTGAAAGCTCCACTGTTGTACAGTTCCTTGTCCTCATTATCCTCACACTGGATTGGCGGCTGTCATTTCTAGATTCACATTAGAAAAGGCCAGGCATAAAGGGTATTGCAGGTCACAACCATCCATTGAATTTGGGTATTTTCTGAAGGGTGATTTCTGACCTAAGGAAATCGCTTAGAATGCTTTTCTGGCTTTCCCTCCTTAGCAGAATTATTCGAAAAACAGGGATGGTTTTCAAACAAAAGAAAATGTATTTTTAAAATTTGTTTATAGAGGCCGCCCAACTACCAATGATTCTGGGCAGCTAACAATTAAAAAGACAAATTGAAAAATTGAAAATATGAGCGACTTGAAGACAAATTAACAAAAACCCATCCATCAGGGGCTCAGCCATCACCTGCCCCTAAAGCCTGGGAGAATAGCCAGGTCATTGAGCAGCTGAAGGGAACCATCAGGGTGTCAAGATGCTGATAATCTCTTGATTATATTTTCCGGTACTTGTGGGACATATTCCAATATGTTTTGCAAGGAACTGGTTGGATTCACCTAATATGTTTAGCCAGATTTATACAAGCTATTTTATGGGTTACTGTAGTGCATGTGAACACCATAGGGGGCATCAGAAAGCTTACACCCAATACAGTAATTTTATCATTATTATTACTGTTATTAAATTTTTATATGCCACCTGACTCTAACAACTCTGGGCAATTATAAATAAAAATATTGAAAACAAAACAAAAATACAATAAAAATTAAGAATAAAGCCATATACCATGGCATGTAGTCTTCCATATGTATGCTTTGCAGATTATCAGACAAATTACAATTCAGAATCTCCCATGAGAAGAATTCAAGCCAAAGGCAGTGCCAATTAGTGCCAAAGGCAGTGATGGTAACATACAATTCAAAAACCATTTGTCACGTAGCAAAACTAGCAACATCTGCATTCAACATAGAAATCTTGACAGGATTAGTATCTCAATGATCCTGGCAGGGGGAGATGAGCATTAAAAGAAACACAGTGAGAACTTATCCTGCTCAATAGCCACACAACACTTTCTCATTTCTGAAGTCAATGGAAGGGTAAAATAGGAACAGAGGAAGTATGCAACAGACTATTCTAATTTTTAAAATTTTATTTTATATTTAAAGAAATAGTGCTACCTGGATTATCCTGATGAATTAACTTGGGAAACAGCATAACTGGCTGGCTGGCATCCTGAGCAGAACTGCAGGGCAATTTTTTTTTTTTCAGTTTTACATATCTGTTCAGATTTCTAACACTGAACTACAGTAAAAGATACACAGAATAACAGTGCCTGCTTGCAAGTGGCAGCAAACACTTATCCCTGGACATCATTCTTTCCTCAGTTTTATTGTTGATCTTCCTGAACTAAATGTTTCCTGTTAGTATCAAGTCAAAAACAGTTGGTCCTACTGATCTTTCCTCTACCCTCTGGAAGAGAACATTGTCAGGCAGCAAAGTAAGAATTTTCTGGAAGTTAGGTTTGAAGGCTTTGCCACCCAACAAATGTGGGAATTAGACCTCTTTTATTGCTATAATTTAAATGCTTCCATGCTAATTTGTTTTCTTAGTTGACCTAATAAAGATATTGCCCTGCTAGAAAATTTGAAATTTAAGACAGAGTGCCATACTAAAAAGTATTTTTTTTTTTTTAAGGTAGCCAACTGAAAATATGCATTTTTAAAAAAATGTATTATTCCAACTTATGACTCAAAAAAATATTATGTAAGATAGACTCTTAGTAGTATATGCAGCTAGTTCCATTTTTTACTCTGGAGATATCCAGGGCTTATCATGATGATAAGAAAAATGTCTTCACCCAACTGATAAATCACCTGGGACTAGCTGATACATTTATCAGCAGACAACAAGCTAGTCTCCAAAGCACATCCAATACTGCACTATTTGCATTTCAGTTTTTACCGTCTTAGCAATACTAACTGTTCTATGAAACCACAGCATGTAACTGGCAGGTCCAAATCCAGCAGTAAGTTATTTCTCTGCTCTGAGCTGCTAAAAGTCTCTTGTTTGAAATGCATAGTTAAAAAGAAATACAGTAAACTGTATTGGTATCAAACAACATTGTTATTTCCAGTTTTAAAAAAAAAAACAGCTCTCAGTGTAGGCTAGAGACCATGTCAGCCTTTGGGGCAGGCGTGGTTTGACACGGTCTTAGGTTCAGCTCCAGGGTCACCTAGTTCCCTAAACATGGTGGACTGGGGTTCAAGCACCTTGTGAAGCATGTACATCAAACATATGTGAAGGAGAAACGGCATGGGCAGCTACCATGGTCTGTGCCCTAGAAGCCAAAAACAGTATTTCAGCTTCAACTGTAAACAGATTTTGTCACTGCTTAAAATTGGTTTCAAGCATGCACCTTTACTGTGTACCTTAAGTTCTTTTTATTGGTGGAAAAATAGGCCATTAATAAGTACTGTACCATGGTACCTTAATTAGTGACTAAAGACCATGCAATGTTATAAGCATTAATTTTACAGCTGAAGTAGCAAGCTCACAGTTTAATGATCCAATCCCCTGCAAAAATCAAGGGCCTCAGATGAGAACTGAAGAGGTGCAGCAGCACAGCAGTAGGCCCTTTAAATAAATATAGCCACCCGGCTGACAGAATACCCACTATAACTTCTAAAGGTTGAACCCCTGGGAAAGAAGAAAATGCAGCATTCAAAATTGAAATGTGATTTGAGCATAACACATCCCAAATGTCCACAAGGTTGGACACATATGGCCTTCCAGAAGTTGCTCAACTAGAACTCTCAGCTTCCCCCCTCCCCCCACACACACACACAATGGACCATGCTGACTGAGGCTACTGGGAGATGTTCAGCAACTTCTGGAAGGCCACCATAAAGCATGCCTCCAATAAAGCATCAACTGTTCCACTAACTAGGCTCATCTTCCAACATGCGTGCTCTTGCAGGCAGGGAAGAATAAGGTTGTTTTGGTTCCTTTCTGCTCATGAGGCAAAACAGAAAGGAAAGTGTCAACTGCCTTGAGTGTAGATTTCAGGCTGTAAGCTCCTTCTCTTCTCAGTATGGTCAAACATAAAGTGGAATGGGACAATTGCCCACATGATCTCTGGTAAAGCCAGGCCTCATGTTTTCCAAATACCATAAAAAACCCTGGTGGTGTAATGGTTTTCTTTCCTCTTGAATCCTAGCACCATCCCTTAACTGCATGGTCTTCCCTTCTCTTGGGTAGGTATTTAAACCTTATCCAGAGGTCTCAACCCTCTCCTGAGCAAGTCACCTTCTCAGAGAACTATTCTAATGCTGCACTATAAGCATCCTCCTTCCTTTCCTTTGTGCACGGTATCCAAATACTGCTTGTAACAGAATCATTGTGCTCTGTGGCAGAGGTGTGTGGCAAATACTCACTACACTTAGTGTTCAGAAAGTTATTTAATGGATGAGGTTAACAGTGACTATTTTACTTCAAAGTGAGAAAGAACCAAAAGTGATAAAATTAAACAGGAGGAAAAGTGTCTCCTTTAAAAAAAAAATGAGCATTTTTTAAAAAATAGATTTTTTTTAATAATAATAAAATAACCCAAGACAAGCACTCAAACATGAGTCAGATTTCCTTCACAATCCAAACAAATAAATAAGTCCTCCTGTAGGTTCCAAGGCTTCAGATCTTTGGAGACAAAGAGGCTTCTTACCACCAAAGAAAGCATAGCTATCAATCAGCAGAACCGCATGGAAATGGTTTTAAATGACCACTTTTCCAGCTATGAATTTCTGCCTTCATTAGCTATGCAAAACACATCAAGCTATTCTTCTAAAAATGATAAGGGTAACATTGTAGCATTACTTCCACGACTGATCTTTGGAATAAGGAACGCACAGAATGGACCAAGCAGTATTCTGTTTGGAGAAGAGTGAGTAAGATGATAGTCTTGCTCAAAACAGCAGCCCAGGAGCAGTGTTTAGCACTGCCTAGATACGTGGCCCTCCATATACTGTTGGATTACAATTCCTATTGCCCGTGCTGTTTAATTACTGATGGGACAGATAGCCAAGAACTATCTGGCAGTATTTACCACCACAGCATCAAAAATAATGCATGCAGCATTCAGTTCTCGAACTCGATCTTAAATGTGGCAATGTTTAATTAAGACTCTAAGGAAAAGATTTCCCCATTTATGCTGGGACTGCCACTCTGGCCACATTGGATAGCACTTTTGAAAGCCACAGTCCCAACAAATCTGGAGGAAACAAGGTTGGCAAGATTATATGTCCTAGTGTTATTTTTAATCAGAATGTCAATTCAGTTTCTTAGTTTAGCATTAATTTTCTCACAGTCTAACAATTTTATCAGACAAGCTATGAATGAGATTGTCTTGATGAAATCCTCTGCAAGACTTCCCTCACACTCTTTTGGTTGAGTATATAAATAAGAACAGTACTGATGAAGAAAGCAGAGAGGAAACGCAGCACACAATTCTGGAGATTGGAGCCAGCAAGGAGCGTAATTATGTTTCTAGTTTCTGGAATCCCAAGTGCTAAAAGTCTTCAACAATTCACTGAATAAAGTCCTCAGAAGAGGTGGGTGAAAAATATTTTCTGAAAGCAGTTCCTCTGGGTAAACTGGCTTTAGTAGGACAACTCATACTTACACAAGCCACATAAGTTTGTGCAATTTCCAAGTACAGCAGTTTTCCTGGAATACCTCCCTGATTTTGTCACATTATTCTACTCCATTTGCTCATATTTCTAAAGATTCTGATCCACTGCCTTGGCAATTCAATATACAGAGAAATACTGCCTAAGCAAGTCTCCTTCCACGTAGGACTACTCCCACTATGAGTCTCACCAAGCAATCACAGTAAGTGGAAAAACAAAGGTAGACTAATTGCTTCCAAGTGCATCACTTAGGATTTCAAGCCCATCTTAGCCATCATTTGTTCATATACAGTCCACGCCATTGCTGCCATCAGTGTGCGCCGCAGGGCCCGTGGGACAGCACCATGGAAAAATCCAGCCAGCCCATAATTCTGTAGAGGACAAAAAGATAACCATCACCACCATTCTTAAGCACTCAGTTCTGGATGATAGTTATTAAAGGTTAATCTTTAACCAAAGGTAAAAATAGAAACCCCTATTATCCAGTGATAGTAATGGCTCTTAACAGTATCTCAAAACTATGTATCTATTTCTTCTAAGAGAATGCAACTGCATCCAAAACTGGTAAGTTCCCCCATTCTCAAATCCAAGCATCACCTACCCACAGGCTTCAGTTTCAATTTCTTGCCCTCACTCACCACATCCCTGTGCCCAGACACTAGTTTAGAACATGCTCAGCTTCTCCTGATGTTATACAGAAGTAGAACTGAGTGTCACCAGCATATTAACGGCATCTAGCTCTCAAATTCCTAATGACACCCCCCCACAGTCCACCCATGGCTTCACAGAGATGTGAAACGGCATTAAAGACAAAGAACTGTGCAATGCCACCTAACAGCACGGCCACCAGGGTCCAGAGGTAATCACTCACTTTAAGGGTCTCACTGCAAGTAGGAACGGAACTGCTATAACCCAACTCATGAAGACAGTTCAGGAGATTACTATGGTTGATGGTAAGAAAGGCTACTAAAAGATAAACAGGAGTCATGCTCCCTCTGTTTCTCTCCCACAGAAGATCATCTATCAAAGAACCATGGCTATACTGTCCCAAAACCAGAGGGAAGAGAGTTAAAATAATTTATGTACTATAACCACCCAGAATTGCTTGGAGTCAGGTGGCATGTTATTATTATGGCTGGTCGCACAGTCAGCCATATGTTTAGACTGGATTTGACATTTTTATCCACCTATCAAGTCCTTCCTAAGGACCTGGGATAGGCAGATGTTGTTTAGTAGTATTAAAGATATCAGCGCAGGATGTAAGCTGCCTTTTGCAATTGACTGATGGTGATTTTGTCAATGCAACGATGTTCAAGTG